GGACAAAATCCTAAAACAGAAGAGAAAATCTTGAATAGGTACCCGCCCATCTATTCACCTATTGTCCATAAAAGTTCGCCTTTTGTGGTAACGGATATGCATAACAATGGGCTGGTTTGGTATTTGCCTGACATCCTTTCAGGAGCACGCCAGGTATGTGACTATGGCCGCTGGGTGTACAATCTCAAACCCTGTTCAGTTGCAGATCTGGAAGTTCCTCAAAATTCTTGAATCAGCTTTGAGGATAGACGACAAGGCTACTACTAACTGGAGGAATCATAAAATGCACTACAGGCCTGCAGAGCAATGTCAACAACTCAAGCCCGGGACCGTGAGTTTATCGCCAGCATGGTTCCAGCAAGGGCACGAGGTGTGAAATCTCTTTGGATCCATAAACAAAGTCTGAACGATCTGCAGTCTTCCCAGTTCAAGCTTGAAGTCAGCGCGCAAATGAAGCGTGGCGCCGTTGGGGCGCAGTGGAGCCTGGAAATGCAAGAGTCATCTGCTTTGATTGGCGCCATCCTGAGTATCATACATCCACAACTTTATGAGCAGGGAATGGAGGCACTCCGCCGCCTCGAGACAGAAAATGGGTTTGTGGATGATGAGGAAGAATTGTACACGGCGCTGAAGCATTGGACTCCCCCTTTCAGCGCCTTGTCAGTGATTAGCAACCGGTCAACACCAGTACACCGTGACACCAAAGGGCGGAATGAGTGGATTGATGTCCTAGTGCCTTTGGGAGAGAAAGACTCGACTGGAATCATGGATTTCCCGGGTTTAGGCATATCCATCAAGTACAACCCATCGACAATAGTTGGGGTTGCTGGCAAAGTGATCTCACATGGGGCAGTGTTTGAAGGGGGAGAAAGGGGGTGCATTTCATACTACATGCGCAATAAAGTTCATGAGAGGTTAGGAGTTCCAGCGGGCACATGGATGAACACCAGTATATATGATTGCTAGCTGCCATTCGGTGAGCGCCATTACACAGTAACTTTGCCGTTGTGGCTAGTGCGCCTGCGCCGCCTGGTAAGTTTTCAGAGCTAGCGCCTGTTGGTCACAATGGCGCTGGCGCCTCTTCGTCAAAATGGTGCTGGCGCCTCTTCGTCAACATGGCGCTGGCGCCTCTTCGTCAACATGGTGCTGGCGCCTCTTAGTCACAAGGTCCGCATGCGTGGACCCTCGAAAGTCAACGGTCCTTGCTCCGCACCCAGAAGAGATATATACATGTCCTATCGCTCAAGTAAAAATTGCCTCTCAAGAGTCACCCTCATCAAGATCCATCGGCCCAGATCCATCTTCATCTCCCTCACTACCACCTGGCTGCGCCTCTCTGAAGGCAGGCCAACCATAATCACTTGCGGAGTCACCAGTGCTGGAGTGTCCTGATGCTGGCCAACTCAAGCCTGTGGAGGACACAGGAGAAGGTTGGTATTCTGGTTGCTCTTCGTCTTCAGGTTGCTGTTCAAAGTAAGGGGCGACGGCGCCCGTGCGGAGCGCCCCAGCATCCTGCCAAGGGCCTGCGGGTACAGGACCGACGGGCTGCAAGCGAATCTCCCGTTGATGTAGCCGGTCCATCAAAATCTCAATGGCCTCTATGTCGTTTCGGAGCTGGTCTTGTTCCATGCGACCACGAAAAAAGAGGTGTTGGACCCACATCTGTGCGCCATGAACCTTTGCTGCTGCTGTGGCCGCATGCACTGGCAGAACTGGAATGCCAGCCTCATCGTCCTCGACTTCCATGTTGGGTTCACAGTATGGCTAAACAGTAGAAGGTATCAATAAAATCGATGGACAACAGATCAAGTGTGTAAATACCTGTCCCATGGCTTCAATCCACTTACAAAAAGCTTTTTCCTCCTCATCCGAATGCGCCTTCAATAGCTTTTTCTCATTCTCACCGCTGGCGCCCACAGAATTCCACCAGTCGGCCTCATATGTCGCTAGAATCGGCGCCTGGTCTTTGGGCCCGTATTGTGCTTTCAAAACCGCGGGACTGAGTGGTTTTACAATCCGTCTTGCAGGATTTGTTGCGTTCAATAAAGCAGGTGCCCATGGCGGTAGGTCAAGTACTCCACCCAAGCAGTACGCTTTCCCAACTTCCATGCAAAGACGGTTCTATAGATAGATTAAGATAGATCAAGATAGATGAACAGTGAACACCATGAGGACGAACAGTTTCATGCTGAATCCTCAATTTCCACCACTCTTGCCTCTCCTTGTCATCAATCCAGTTCACTTTGTCATCGGAGTATGCACTCCATGCCGCCTTGCATCAGGAGAAGAAGTGGTAGACGCGCCATTCCATTGCAGTGTCCATGATTCAAGTTGAGATTGGCACACAAAAATGAACAAGCCGGTCATGTGGTTTGGACACGTGATGGCCCACAGCTACGACATTGCCATCCCGCAATATGTTGCGCCCCAGTCCGTCGCGCCTGCGGAGTATGTTGCGCCACAGTGTTGCGCTCACACAGTACACGGCGCCCACACAAGACATTGCGCATAATGCTGCGCCACGCAGTACGTTGCGATCACACAGTACACCGCGCCCACACAGCGCATTTTGCCCACGCATTACGTTGCGCCCACCCAGGACAGGACATTGCACCTGGTTGCTTGTGTATGAATTACATGACAAGTGGCTTGTAATAATGGTTGGACAATTGAAACCTGTTATCCGCATCGATGGCAAGCATATTCCACAGATCCTTCTGGCGTTCAGCA